GTTCTTTGTTAGTAAGTTATCCAACGGTGCTTGTAATTCGGCACACCGGGGCACGTACTCTCTTAGCCAGTTGGTCAATCCTAGAAAACTTCTTAGCTTCTTCCTCGAGGTGGGCCGGTCTGCGGTCCGGATTGCTTCGATGTGTTCCTGGCACGGGCGGTTCCCGTTCGCCGTGATGTTGTGGCCCAGGTATTGGATCGTTTGCACCCCGAAGCGACACTTTTCGAGGGACAAGCGGAGTTTGTGGCGTTGCAGTCGTTCCAGCACGAGGTGTAGATGTTTGAGGTGCTCGTCCCAGGAGTCTGAGTAGATTATTATGTCATCCAGGTATACCATGACGAATTTCCGTAAATACCCGGCGAGAACGTCCTGGGTCATTAGCTTCTGGAACGTAGCAGGTGCATTCTTGAGCCCGAACGGCATTACTTTGAATTGATAACTCGCTCCATCAGGGGTTGAAAACGCGGTGAGATGTCGGGATTCCGTCTCTAGCGGCACCTGCCAGTAGCCTGATTTGAGATCCAGGCTGGAAAAAACTTTGGCCGTCCCCAGGTCTCGGAGGGTCTCCTGTATGACTGGCAGGTTGGTGCTCTCGTCTTTTGTGATGGCGTTTAGACGACGGTAGTCGATGCAGAATCTCGGGCGGCCGTCTTTTTTCTGAATTATGACGATGGGCGAGCAATATTCGGACGTGCTGGGCTCGATCACCTGCGCTGCTAACATAGCTTCCACTTCATCCGCGATGACCTTCTTTTTGTTTGGCGAATGTCGATATGGCGGAAGTCGGAAGGGCGTTGTTTTGGTGACTCGGATGCGATGTGTGGTGGATGCTGTTGTTGTGGGCGTTGCAGGATCGGCAAGTGTGCTACCGAAAGTTTCCAGCAGTGTGGCCAGGCGTCGATCGAGTGGTGGTTGGAACCCGTGCTTGACTCCGGCGAAGTTTATGGAGTCGCTCGTTGTTGGGCCGCGGTTCGGAGCTTGGTCCCAGTGTGTTGTCTGCCTTGTATGGGTTCCCCAGTGGATGCACGCTCTCTCGTAATCCAGCACCGCTCGATGTTCTTGGAGCCACTTCTGTCCCAAGATGATGGGCACGACAAGGTTTGGTGTCACCAGGAAGTCGTCCGATTCTTGCTTGTCGTTGAGCGTGTACTCGACTCTGGATGTGCCGATGACTTCCAGCTGATGGCGGGGTTCGCTAGGCCGGCTGTTTGGTGGTTGCTATGGTGGATTTTCCACGCGAGCTCCTTCTGGATGAAGTTATGGGATGATCCGGAGTCGAGGAGAGCTCTTACGCTTTTTCCGCGTACCTTGACTGCCAGCGTTGGTAGGTTGGGTCGGGTCGCAGTCTGGATTAGGTGGACGGCCGGGCATTGTTCCCGACCGCTGCCCCGTTTCCCTGGTCTCGGCGGCGGGTCAGTACTGGGCAGTCTCGGTGGAAGTGATATTCCGGGCAGTGGTGGCACTTTGGTGTGTTGGGAGGTCTGTCGGCGGGGGTTGGTGGCGATGGTCTGGGTTGATTGTTTCGAGGTAGCGCTTTGTTGCAGTTTTCGATTTCCTCGGCGTGACGCACCAAGTCGAGGAGTGAAGTGGGTGTTGTGGTTAAAAAGGCTACTCTAATGCGTGGGTGCAGCAGGTCTCTCAGTAGCTCGAGGTGCTCGCCGATCGGGATCTTCAGCCGTTTTGCTAGCTGTGCCTTCCTCTGGAGGAATTGCTGCGGCGACTCTGCTCCTTGTTCTCGGCCGAAGAATTCTGATTGCATCTTCCCGCGAATCTTGCTGCTGTCGTATTTTTCGCGGGTGTAGTTCTTTAGGTCGTTGTATGTCGGTGAAAATGCCTCGTAACTGTTCCACCATTTCGCAGCCTCCCCTTTTAGTTGTGCTGCTGCTGTTTTTAACTTTTCCGTCGGGTCGGTGGTTTGGATTGTCTGCTCGAGCGTGCTGAAGAAGACTGTTGGGTCCTCCAGGTGGTCGCCGCTGAAGGTCGGTAGGTCCGGTGATGCGGTTTTCTGCGCGTTCTGGAGGGCGTCGGTCAGCGCCTTTAGCATGTCGAGGGTGTGTTGAGAGTGTTGGGCGCCACTGGACGGGGTTGCCGGGTCCAGACCGGGGTTGATTGCCGGGGTCATCTCCGTTGTTTGAGTGTCGATACCTTCGTCGGCGCCGGAGTTGGACGTCGGGGTGTTCCTGCTCCTCGTATTCATGGTGTTGCGCGTCGGCTGTCGCGGGAGCGTGGGCGTAGATCCTCAGAGCGCGATGCTGCTGGTTGACTCACACGTATGGGCGCCAATTGTTACCGGGCGGGGTAACGTAAGTGGCAAACGGAGGTTGAAAACGTATATTACACAATATTTACAAATAATACAGAGGATATATGTACATATATAAGATCGCTTCTGGCACGTGGGATGGCGCCGGACTTGACTACGGTCAAGCCGGGAAGTGATGGCGTGCGGAGACGGTACTTGAGCCCAAGCGACCAGCCTCAGTCGCTTGTGTAGGGTAAGGTAGGTTTGCCCAGGCACAAGTGAAGTTCCCCTGTCGGTGCGCTGCTTATAAACGATTTCCGGTAGAGGCGTCTGGCGACGCGGCCAATAGGGCGCTAGTGGATGGTGGGGTGGAAGTTGCAACCCCTCTCCTAGTCGTCGTAACAATTCCTTGATTCTATAGTCGGTCCGTGTAGAACACAGCTGGATAGCCAATTGCCATTCCAGAACACCGAGGATTCTGTAGTCAGTTCGTGTAGAAGACAGCTAGCGGGGCAATTTCCATTCGGATGGAATGCCCTGACCGAAGGCGTCGGGAACTCCAGGTGCACCGACAATAAAACTGTTTATGGACAATTGTTCTTTCTTATAGTTATCCCGCTTCCTTCATCTTGTACACTAATCTTGGCGTGGTTCTTTTGAGGTTTGTTTAAACATTCAACATTTCAACCACGGTGATAACTGTAAAAGTCCTGCGATTAAATTTATCCAAATACAACTAGTAAGGGCAGTCGAACTGAATTCTATGGGACATCCATGATCTCTTAAAGGGTATCAAATTGAGTCGATTGATCACAGTTTTGATCATGAATTGTGTTCGGGGTACTCCCGCAATAGTTCTGAAGATCATGTGGATTTGCCGTAAATAATGACGACTTTGCATTTTTATCTTTGTTGATCTTAAAAACAACCTTTGGGTTTCTTATATTAAACGGTAACATAGTAAAGGACTTCGTCTCCAATACTCCTTTGCATCACTTTTTCTGTACAATCCTGCCAGGATGTCTGAATATTATTATATTGGTACTTAAGAAAGATACAGAAATGACACATGATGCAAACCCTATAATTTCCACTGTCGTGTTACTTTTATTAAAATGCTCAAACTGAATCGCTAGGTACTGAGTGCCAATTGAACATACTCATTTTGACTCATTTGCAGTACTTCACGGCCTAATAGCTACTTTTATTATATTTGACTTGTTCAGTAAAGTGCCTTTTTTCATTAACTTAATCGCATTAGCATTATTAATGCGATCTGATGTCGCTCTAGACCAGTGATTTTTTGGTAATCCTATTTTATTATTTGAAATGCTTATGGTTTGTATGGTTCATGTCGTAGAGCGAAACACAGCGTAATACCTTCAAATTCAAATTATCCTGGGGGGATTCCATAGCAATTTTCTTGAGCTAGGGTTCCCCTAGGTCGAAGTTTTTATTGTTGGTATATGAAGTTAGAGAAATACGTTAACAGATTTGCGTTACGTTCCGGCCAGATCGAAGATATTTCCTTACTGGATTTATATAGCTTCAGTCTTCCTTCTGTCGAGGTGCGTCTTTGTTGGTAATGGATTAATGGGACCTATAGAAAGATACAAAGAATAGCGTCTTGCCCACCTATAATTTAACAAGACAACGACCCACAGGGTTCTTTAGTGTCAAGTGAATAAGAGACACCAAAGTCACAATGTTAATTCAATTTCTATTCGGATGGAAAGTCCTGCCCGAAGGTGTCGGGAACTCCTGGTGCACCGACAATAAAAGTGTTTATGGACAAATTGTTCTTTCTTATAGTTATCCCGCTTCCTTCATCTTGTACACTAATCTTGGCGTGGTTCTTTTGAGGTTTGTTTAAACATTCAACATTTCAACCGCGGTGATAACTGTAAAAGACCTGCGATTAAATTTGTCCAAATACTCCGTTAGGACAGTCGAACTGAATTCTATGGGACAGCCATGATCTCTTAAAGGGTATCAAATTGAGTCGATTGATCACAGTTTTGATCATGAATTAAGTGTTCGGGGTACTCCCGCAATAGTTCTGAAGATCATGTGGATTTGCCGTAAATAAGACGACTTTGCATTTTTATCTTTGTTGATCTTAAAAACAACTTTTGGGTTTCTTATATTAAACGGTAACATAGTAAAGGACTTCGTCTCCAATACTCCTTTGCATCACTTTTTCTGTACAATCCTGCCAGGATGTCTGAATATTATTATATTGGTACTTAAGAAAGATACAGAAATGACACATGATGCAAACGTTCTAATTTCCACTGTCGTGTTACTTTTATTAAAATGCTCAGACTGAATCGCTGTGTACTGAGTGCCAATTCAACATACTCATTTTTACTCACTTGCACTACTTTACGCCATAATAACTACGTTTTATTATATTTTACTTGTTCAGTAAAGTGCCTTTTTTCATTAACTTAATCGACATGCCATTAGTAATGCGATCAATTACTGCGCTTTGATGTCTCTCTAGACCAGTGATTTATTGGTAATCTTATTTTATTATTTGAAACGCTTATGGTTTATATGGTTCATGTCGTAGAGCGAATACCTTCTAATTCAAGTTATCCTGGAGTTCCATTGACTCCATAGCAATTTTCTTGACCCAGAGTTCCCCTAGGTTGAAGTTTGTATTCGTGGTATATGAAGTTAGAGAAATGAACAATAATCCGAAATATGTAAACAGATACTACTATATGTATTTAATACACCATTTCTGCATCTATATGCTTATAATATCAATTATTTGTTTAAGTTTCTTTGTTTATATTAGTCTAGTGTTTTTTTCTTAGGACGGGTGGAAGATCACCATGTAGACGAACCTTATCCTTTTATACACCAGCTGATGATGAGATCGAATATATTGCCTTACTGGATTTATACGGCTTCAGTCTTCCTTCTGTCAAGGTGCGTCTTTGATGGTAATTGATTAATGGGACCTATAGAAAGATACAAGGGGAATACAAGTCTTGCCCACCTATTTGAGGGCAAAGGCGGGACGGTTTTTAAATAGGAAAGGGATAGTGTAACGGGACGGATTGCACCGATAATTATTGTTATCTATTATATTTATCGAGGTAGAAATTCCGGAAAAAAACGCACATTTTAGTCAACGCACAAGGATTGGCAAATCCGCAAGCTGAATAAAACGCACATTGAGCTCTTCGTGCTTAGGGATTGTTATAAAACCGCTGGGTTCTAACACAATCTTTTCGGGTGTACTCTTCGATGGTACGATTTCAAAGTTCAACAGCAACTTCACTATCGCCATTTTGACTATCACGCGAGCAAAATTGACACCTAAAAGCAGTACGACGTTTGCCTTTAGTAGCAGGTCTCGTTGTGGATACCTACCGATGCAGTTGCGTCGTCCCTCTCCGAAGGGCAGGAACGCGAAACGTTCCAGTTTGTCTCGGTTTTCGGGCGAGAATCGCTCCGGATCGTACCTCTCCGGATCGGGGAAGTAGTTGGGATCGTTGTGCAAGCCGTAAAGGGAAATGTAGACCGGAATCCCCTTGTCGATGACGATGTCCGTGTTCGGAATTTGGTAGGTTTTTGTGCAGCGGCGGTCGAGGAAGCCCAAAATCGGCTGTCTACGGAGAGACTCTGCAAGGGGTTAGCCGTGCTCGTTGACGACTCTTACCTTTCAGGCACATGTCGAGATACTCCATCTCGCGCAAAGCCGCGTAGGTTAAGCCGCCATGTTTGGCGATCACGGAGCGAATCTCTCCTCTGAGGCGGATTTGATGCTTGGGATTGACGCACAGATCGTACAGGCTAAAGGAGAGGGTCGTGGCGCTGGAAATGAATCCGGCCGTTAGGTACTCGAGACTGATCGCCAAGCCGTGAATATCTGAAGTGATGGTTTATTAGAACTGCATACAGAAACCTGTAATACCGATATTGTAGTCTTTGAATTCTCCCTCCATTTTAATGAGTGCCTCCAGTAGGCCGGCGCGAGCGTGTTCCACCTGCCTCCTCAGTTTGACATTCTTCTTAAAAACCTCGGTGACGAATGTGACTGATGCCGGTTCCAAAAACGTCATCCTGAATGGCTTTACGAACATGTGCGCGAAAAAGTAACAAATCGAGTGCACTATGCGGCTGAAGGTGGCGTTTTGTAAGTTGCGAGCTGCCTGGTAAAAATCGGAGTTCTGAAAGGAGTTCGCTTGGATTCCTAAGGCGTAAGACGAGAGCGCGTCCAGTGAATACTTAATTGACAATTCGCGGCATTCAGTCACTTCTCGTGAGAGTTCCACGTCCCTAACGTGCTCAACGAAGCGGTCAGCGGTGTCTGCCACCAAGGGGAGCATGGCCTTCACCTTCCCCGCAGACAGGGTTGAGGTAAAACGCGACCTTGCCTCCTCCCACTCATGATTTTTCAGCATTAACAACGAAACCGCACTGAGTAAATCGTGCTCTTTATTTTCGGCCGTGTTCCTATCCTCAAAGTGCGAGAAGTCATTCATCAAAACGTTCTTCACCAAATCTGGATCTTTGACCACCAGCGCCGGCTTGTCAAAGATGAAGAAGCCGCCGCAACAGAAATCGGTCATGTTGTAAACGTCGCAAAGGTACTGAGAAATTGACTTCTTCCGCATCAGCACCGAGTGGATGGTGCCCAGAAGCGGGATCGGTCGGAAATGTGGCACATTCCTCTTCTTCCAATAGTCGAAGTTCCTGGTCGAATAGAAGTAGGAGAGAATTAGAAAGGTCACGAGAACTGCTAAGAGTATCACCATTTCGGATCACGTACAAATGAACTAAATAGCAAATGAGCGAAACACGCATTTATTCGGGTGTTATCAGGCGACCTTTCAAAGGTCACCTGGTTTGGTAATCCAGAATCACTACAAAATTACTTGGAAATGAACCAATGAATTTACTAATTGTGTGGCTACCTTTTATTCTCATTGACAAGGATCGCGTGTCTCGAACTCTTCCGAAGGAAAAGGAAGGAGTCACTTTTGCTTCATTTCTCTTCTGGTTTACTGAGTCTCCTCCTTTTCCTGAAACCCTTTAAAGTTTCCAGATCCTTATTGCTCTTTGGTAGTTCAAGGCTCTTTAAGATCCTTCAAGATCCTCACGATTTTGTATTCCGTGCTCCTCTTCCAAATATTTTCACGCTTCTGCTCCTCCTATTTTTACCACACGCATTAATTAATCGTCTTTAAACTTTTTACCAGTTTCCGTTGAGAGGTTCCACCCTGTATATACAACTTACGACGATGCACACAGTTTTGAGAGTTGGCAACCGTGCAATTTGTAGGTGGGGAAAAACTGCCTGCGCCATTTAAAAAGCACGGACGGGGGTTACGTTTGGCATCTTGTCTTAAATGGCGGCCGTGAACGCGTCGCTCCATAAATGTTTGTTGTTATTTTGTGTTATTTAATACAGGTGGTAATTTTTGCATTTGTTTATATCGTATTTGTGTTTTGTATGCCACATTTTATATTTTGTGTGTTTCAATCTTTGTTTTTGAAATTTACTTGGTTTAACCGTAATGACATGTTTATTACCGTTATCCCTTTGTTTGTAATCGTTTACGTTTTTGGTGTAATGTTTGCTTAATTTATGTTTATTAATGTTGATTACTTGGTCTTGTCCCTGAAGTACACTACAATTCATATAAGTTTTCATTTTATTTTAATTTGTGGAAATTACCGATTCGATTGATGTATGTACTGACTTGTTGTTTGTAACTAACAATTTTCTCCGTGAATGAAGCAGTCACGGGGGTGCTGAAAACTGTACTCAAAATTGAGCTACGACACCTAATTCCGTGATTGTCTTCGACTTTCAACTGTAGGCTCGAAACCCGGAAACCAGGGGCGGGTTACCTATCTTGCAGGAGCGGGATTACGCTAATCTAAGCTCTTCAGTTTAGAATCTATGTGCGATAAATGAGTGGCGATTCAATAATTTCTACATATCTTGTTCTTAGTTAAATTTGCCTGCAAGGCCATGTAATTTTCCATCTTGCTTTTAACAAAAGGACTTTATTACACCAAAGATGAGTCACATCCGGTGTATTTCACCCTTTCTTAGAATCTTGGTACCTGCTTACCTGACCCATAATTCCCAGAACTTGTTTTAAACCTATACGTTACCTCTTGAAGTTTACCTGCACTTTTTGTGATGTTATAATTTTATGTTACGCATTCATATCATTACAAACAATTAATTTTACTACACAATTTAATATTAATTTGTTGGCTGGTTTTTTTATCGGTAAGTTCTTTTTTTCCCAGCCTACTTCTATTTTTATTCGGTGAACTACCATTTTCAAAGTTCATTTTTGCAATGTAATTTATTTCGACTTAAATTTCCGAGCTTTCACAATCTTAATAATTGCGATCATTATTAAACAAACTATTCACAATTGCAGTGTTTTATTTTACATTCCTTCCCTACTGTGCCTTAGGTCAAAGCGTTGTCTACAACTAACGTAAGGGGGCCCTGCTTTAGATGTTTGATCACGTGCCACTTTTCAAATTTAAGCGGTATCTTGTTATATTCATTCGGGTGGCTATTTATTTTTAAACGTTGCCAGGTTGACTTTATTTTCGTGTTCTTGTAGCGTGTTTTTGTATCGTAACTAACCGCTCCAAATATAAGCGCAATGAAACGTTCTGTACTTTCGACCAAAACGCTCTCGTGTTAAAAATTTATTTAAACGCGACAAAACGAAAATGTTCACGATGGCAACTCGCGATGACTTTAAAGTATAATCTTCCTTTTTTACCAAAATTCGACTACACCAACATTTCTCGGGAAAACACATTTTCTTATTAATTTGGGTGTAGAATCCAAATCAATTCGTAGTTTTTCGATCAGACTTCTCAATCAAACGTTATACATTAGTAACCAATTTCGAAAAAAAATTCAAAGGGCTGTAATTTTTTAACTAGTAGCCCAATCTTGGAACTGTTCGAAATTATGGATTCTACAGGCCACATTCTATAAGAAAATTTTTTTCCGGGTCGATCTGAGACAATTTTTTCTTCGGGGCTCAAAAAAAAGCAGTGTATAAGTTTAAACGCACCCACGACAACAATTTCGTCGAATTGGTGACACGGTTTTCCCTTGTAATTCGGCAATTAACTAACTTCCGCGATTACACCGCGTATATCTCGGTGATACGGATTCGTCTGGAAAGTTTCGGTTGAAAATTAATGTTACGCGATCTCAAATACCGCGCCAGGCTTACATAGGTTCGCCTTGAAGGTTCAGCGAAGAATCTCTCTCTCCCACCCGATTTTTTCTAGTGTAGTCGCCAAATCCAAAAACCGAAACGGAACCAACGCAAAACCAAGGTTAAGGTCTTCCAAAACCTCCATCAAGGATCTACTGATGGACCCTTAATACCTTACATGTCTATCAAAACCCTTCCGACTTATTCCTTTAAGATCCTTTGCCACCCTCAAAGGCTCAAGGACAGCTTTAAAGGTCCCGTAAAGAACTAGCAAACCTCAAAAGGCATTTTATTGCCCTTTGCAACCTTGGGAGAATCCGTCAAGTTGAAGGTCATTCTGTAATTCGAACTACTGCGCGTGCAGCAAGTGAAGGTGAGGTGAGGGTCTCTCCTGAACTAAAACAATTTGACTGAAAGTCAAACGTAGGCGTGGGTTCGTTCCTGAACTGGATGTCACTGAAGTTCTTAGACGAGGGTTCTTTGCTTGAGTACAATCCAAGGTCACTGAAGGTCAAACGTAGACGCGCCCATTCAAATTTCGCCGAAGATCAAACTCGAAGGTGAAATGGAGGACAGGATTGAAGGTTTTCATAATTGAAGGTGAAATAGAGGGCATAATTGAAGATGAAGAGGGCAGCAGTGAAGGTGAAATAGACGGCATAATTGAAGATGAAGAGGGCAGACGTGAAGGTGAAATAGAGGGCAGAATTGAAGGTGAAGTAGACGGCATAATAGAAGATGAAATAGAGGGCGGAAGTGAACGTGAAATAGAGAGCAGAATTGAAGGTGAAATAGGGGGGAAAATTGAAGGTGAAATAGATGGCAGAATTAAGGGTGAAATAGTGGCCAAATTGAAAGTGAAATAAAGGGGAGAATTGAAGGTGAAATAGGGGTAAAAATTGAAGGTGAAATAGATGGCAGAATTAAGGGTGAAATAGTGGCCAAATTGAAAGTGAAATAAAGGGGAGAATTGAAGGTGAAATAGAGGGCAGAATTGAGAGTGAAATGTAGGGCATAATTAAAGGTGAAATAGAAGGCAGAATTGAAGGTAAAAATAGGACAGAATTGAAGGTGAAATAAGAGGGAAAATTGAAGGTGAAATAGATGGCATAATAATTAATGGTGAAATAGTGACCAAATTGAAAGTGACATAGAGGGCATAATTGCAAGTGAAATAAAGGGGAGAATTCAAGGTGAAATAGAGGGCAGAAGTGCAGGTGAAATAGAGGGCAGGATTCGAGGTGAAATAAAGGGCAGAATTGAAGGTAAAAATAGGGCAGAATTGAAGGTGAAATAGGGGTAAAAATTGAAGGTGAAATAGATGGCAAAATTAAGGGTGAAATAGTGGCCAAATTTAAAATGACATAGAGGGCATAATAGAAAGTGAAATAAAGGGGAGAATTGAAAGTGAAATAGAGAGCAGAATTGAAGGTGAAAAAAAAGAGCAAAATTGAAGGTAAAATAGAGGGCAGAATTAAGGGTAAAATAGTGGCCAAATTGAAAGTGAAATAAAGGGGAGAATTGAAGGTGAAATAGAGGGCAGAATTGAAGGTGAAAAAAGGGCAAAATTGAAGGTGAAATAGAGGGCAGAAGTGCAGGTGAAATAGAGGGCAGAATTGAGGGTAAAAATAGGACAGAATTGAAGGTGAAATAGGGGGGAAAATTGAAGGTGAAATAGATGGCAGAATTAAGGGTGAAATAGTGGCCAAATTGAAAGTGAAATAAAGGGGAGAATTGAAGGTGAAATAGAGGGCAGAATTGAGAGTGAAATGTAGGGCATAATTAAAGGTGAAATAGAAGGCAGAATTGAAGGTAAAAATAGGACAGAATTGAAGGTGAAATAAGAGGGAAAATTGAAGGTGAAATAGATGGCAGAATTAAGGGTGAAATAGTGGCCAAATTGAAAGTGAAATAAAGGGGAGAATTGAAGGTGAAATAGAGGGTAGAAATGCAGGTGAAATAGAGGGCAGAATTGAGAGTGAAATGTAGGGCATAATTAAAGGTGAAATAGAAGGCAGAATTGAAGGTAAAAATAGGACAGAATTGAAGGTGAAATAAGAGGGAAAATTGAAGGTGAAATAGATGGCATAATAATTAATGGTGAAATAGTGGCCAAATTGAAAGTGACATAGAGGGCATAATTGCAAGTAAAATAAAGGGGAGAATTCAAGGTGAAATAGAGGGCAGAAGTGCAGGTGAATTAGAGGGCAGGATTCGAGGTGAAATAAAGGGCAGAATTGAAGGTAAAAATAGGGCAGAATTGAAGGTGAAATAGGGGTAAAAATTGAAGGTGAAATAGATGGCAGAATTAAGGGTGAAATAGTGGCCAAATTTAAAATGACATAGAGGGCATAATAGAAAGTGAAATAAAGGGGAGAATTGAAAGTGAAATAGAGAGCAGAATTGAAGGTGAAAAAAAAGGAGCAAAATTGAAGGTGAAATAGAGGGCAGAATTAAGGGTGAAATAGTGGCCAAATTGAAAGTGAAATAAAGGGGAGAATTGAAGGTGAAATAGAGGGCAGAATTGAAGGTGAAAAAAGGGCAAAATTGAAGGTGAAATAGAGGGCAGAAGTGCAGGTGAAATAGAGGGCAGAATTGAGGGTAAAAATAGGACAGAATTGAAGGTGAAATAGGGGGGAAAATTGAAGGTGAAATAGATGGCAGAATTAAGGGTGAAATAGTGGCCAAATTGAAAGTGAAATAAAGGGGAGAATTGAAGGTGAAATAGAGGGTAGAAATGCAGGTGAAATAGAGGGCAGAATTGAGAGTGAAATGTAGGGCATAATTAAAGGTGAAATAGAAGGCAGAATTGAAGGTAAAAATAGGACAGAATTGAAGGTGAAATAAGAGGGAAAATTGAAGGTGAAATAGATGGCATAATAATTAATGGTGAAATAGTGGCCAAATTGAAAGTGACATAGAGGGCATAATTGCAAGTAAAATAAAGGGGAGAATTCAAGGTGAAATAGAGGGCAGAAGTGCAGGTGAATTAGAGGGCAGGATTCGAGGTGAAATAAAGGGCAGAATTGAAGGTAAAAATAGGGCAGAATTGAAGGTGAAATAGGGGTAAAAATTGAAGGTGAAATAGATGGCAAAATTAAGGGTGAAATAGTGGCCAAATTTAAAATGACATAGAGGGCATAATAGAAAGTGAAATAAAGGGGAGAATTGAAAGTGAAATAGAGAGCAGAATTGAAGGTGAAATAGGGGTAAAAATTGAAGGTGAAATAGATGGCAGAATTAAGGGTGAAATAGTGGCCAAATTGAAAGTGACATAGAGGGCATAATTGAAAGTGAAATAAAGGGGAGAATTGAAGGGGAAATAGAGGGCAGAATTGAAGGTGAAAAAAGGGCAAAATTGAAGGTGAAATAGAGGGCAGAAGTGCAGGTAAAAGAGAGGGCAGAATTGAGGGTGAAATATAGGGCATAATTTAAGGTGAAATATAAGGCATAATTTAAGGTGAATAGAAGGCAGAATTGAAGGTGAAATAGTGGCCAAATAGAAAGTGACATTGAAGGCATAATTGAAAGTGAAATAAAGTGGAGAATTGAAGGTGAAATACAGGGCCCACACTTTGAATCTTCAATGCCCTCTTTACGTACTTTTAACGCCTTCATTTCTTCAGATCTTTTACAAATTTCATTCTTTCGCCCCTTTTTAATGCTTAATTCGCGCCTGCTATTTACGACGTCTTCATGCAAGCTACATTTCGCCGTCTTCTTCATCCACACCCCTTTGTTTCACACATTTCTTCTCTCTTCTTCTCTATGACGTTTATACATCTCCTCCCTTCATGCCTCTGTCAAGCTTCATCTACGCCTCCTTTCTTTTCCAATTCTTTATTCGGGTAGATTTTCTTCATCTCTTCCCTTTACAGATTGTTTTTTTTAACTTTTGGTTTACTTCTCCTTTTCGATTTAGGGGCACCTTTTCCTTTCGCGTATCTTCCCAACCGATTCATGCCTCCCGTCCTATAGAAACTCGAGGTTCGTGTAATTTGTTCTTCACTTAATTACAGGGCGCCATCTTGAAAGAGGCGTTAATTAATTCAAAACAGATAGGTAGGGATTAATCTGGAGAGATTTTTTGAAAGCATTACCGGTCAAACCGCGTTAGAGATCGTTACTAATTTGCAAATAATCAAGCGGGTTCGGGCCACTAACGTAGTCTAAAGTAATTTGGCATTTATGAACTCATCTTTCTTCAGCTTTAGAATCGCTAGCCTCAAAGCGCTAGGTTTCTAGATGCTGTCTACATTCCCATTTGCGTAATCAAATCTAGGAAACCTTGCGCCAATTGATTACACTATCGCTAGTCACGCTTGACCTCCAACACTAGGCAGCCTCGTGTTCCGCCTGTTATTAGCAGATTGTGTCGTAATGTTATCAAATACATGTCGCCTCTTGTGCTTCCTTCTGTTGGCGCACGCGAATTGTCTCGAAAATCCGAGCGTCATAATAATCGGAGCCGGAGCAGCCGGAATAGCCGCAGCGACCCGGCTGTACAAACACGGCGTGAGGAATGTGACGGTCTTGGAAGCCGAAGGTAGAATCGGTGGACGAATTTATAGTGTGCGACTCGGTGATTCGTACATCGACCTAGGGGCGCAATGGTGCCATGGTGAGCAGGATAATGTGGTTTACTCGCTTGTCAAGGACTTGAAGATTTTGAAGCGCGACGATCAGGCAGCGGAACTGTATCATTCCCGCCTCGAGGCCGTCGACCAGGCGTTCGCTAAAAGTCTGGCCGAAATAATTGACGTGAACGGTTTAGAAGACAACATCCAGCCCAATCTGACTGTGGGGGAATACTTGACAAACATGTAGGGGTAGGTTTAGCAAGTTTCTTCAAATTGTGAGCTCACTTTCAGTTACCAGAAGGCGGTATTGGCAACGTGGCAAAGTGGTTCCGAGCGAAAGTTGGCGGAGGAATGCCTGGAGGTATTTCACATGCAGATACTGGCCGAAAATGGAGCTCCCTCCTGGTTTAACATATCGGTTGACGATGACTATGAGGTGTGTTCAGGACACCAGCAGCTTAGCTGGGGTACTTTGGGCTACAATACCATCATCGAGGTTCTGCTTCGAACAGTTCCCGATTCCAGAATGACTGACAGGATCCTTTTGGATAAAGAAGTAATTGCAGTCAACTGTAGTGATATCAGTTGCGTGGTGACCTGTTCCGATGGCACTCACTACACTGGTGATCATGTAATCTTCACCAGCTCCCTCGGTGTACTAAAGAGCAATCGCGTGCACTTCACACCAGAACTCCCCAGTGAGAAAGCAATCGCAATTCGATCTTTGGGATTCGGAGTGGTTGGCAAAATTTTCCTGTATTACTCTAACAGGTGGTGGGGCGAAGGTTTTTCCGGCGCCGCTTTCGTCTGGGACAAAGATGAGATAGCGAAATCAGCGGAAATGCACCCAGAAGGACCGAAAAAGGTTAGTGCTCCGTGCCAAAGACGCCTTATGGTCAGTGTAACTTTAGGGAGGAAGGTCATGGATCACTGGTGTTTTGGAAGTCATCCCGGTCCTTGGTATCCCCAACATCCTATCGGTCTGGTGCGTCGGCGAATTTGTTCCCGAAATTGAAAACGCCTCCAACGAGACAATTATCAATGGAGTTATGTACCTACTGAGGACGTTCTTAAGGAACGACTACCCCAATGTAACAGCCCCGGATGCAATCTTGAGGTAGCTTGGGTTTAAAAAAACGACCAATCATGTGTAAGATTTTCAGGCACAATTGGTACTCTGATCCTCACTTCCTCGGCACTTACTCATTTACTACCGTTGAGTCTCGACGTTTGCGCGAATCTCAACGGGCGGTTTTATCTAAGCCGGTCCTGTCGCGGAATGGCAGCCCCGCGCTCCTCTTCGCTGGCGAAGCTACAAGCTCTACTCACTACGCGACCGTTCATGGTGCGATAGACAGTGGTTTTAGGGAGGCCGATCGATTGGCGATGCACTACAGATTGACTGCCTAATAAAACATAATGTCCTTCTGCACATGAAACAATAGCTGTTTGTAACAAAAAAAAATACTGGCGCGCTTAATTAGTTTGTCCTTGGTTAAAATATCTTTATATGGTCCTACAGTAATCCTTACTCTCCGGATAGGTACTTACCGGAATTTTTGCCGCGTAAACTGTCACTTTCTCTAATCCGGAGAACGCCAAAGCCAAGTGTTTTTTATCTTTTCTCTGTAACCGCAAAATTTGTGCTTCCGCGATCAAAATGGTGGTGCATGAGAGAACAGGAATGAACGGAAGAACAAATAAGGAATTGAAATGTGAAGAGCAGGAGAACAAGATATGCTTGGAGAGTGTAGGAGATGGTAAGAGATCTGACGGTGGCAGGAGTGACAAGGGAGCAGAGCTGGGCAGAACTTTCAAAAAGTATTTGAATACTAAATACTTTTACGTCCAGCACAAGCGAATAAAAAATTGTGTCAGTTCGACCCGGGAAACAAATTTTCTTATAGAATGTGGCGTGTGGAATCCATAATTTCAAACAGTTCCAAGATTGGGCTACTAGTTCAAAAGTTACAGCCCTTTGAATATTTTTTCGAAATTGGTTTCTAGTCTATAACTTTTGATTGAGAAGTTTGATCGAAAAAGTACGAATTGATTTGGATTCTACGCACCCAAATTAATAAGAAAAAGTGTTTTCCCGAGAAATTTTGGTGTAGTCGATTTTTGGTAAAAAAGGAAGGTTATAACTGCCTTTTTTTGAGGCCCGAAAAAAATTGTCTCAGATCGACCTGGAAAAAAATTTTCTTATAGAATGTGGCCTGTAGAATCCATAATTTCAAACAGTTCCAAGATTGGGCTACTAGTTCAAAAGTTACAGCCCTTTGAATTTTCTTTCGAAATTGGTTTCTAGTCTATAACTTTTGATTGAGAAGTCTGATCGAAAAAGTACGAATTGTTTTGGATTCTACGCACCAAAATTAATAAGAAAAAGTGTTTTCCCGAGAAATTTTGGTGCAGTCGATTTTTGGTAAAAAGGGAAGGTTATACACTGCCTTTTTTTGAGGCCCGAGAAAAAAATTGTCTCAGATCGACCCGGAAAAAAAATTTTTCTTATAGAATGTGGCCTGTAGAATCCATAATTTCAAACAGTTCCAAGATTGGGCTACTAGTTCAAAAGTTACAGCCCTTTGAATTTTCTTTCGTAATTGGTTTCTAGTCTATAACTTTTGATTGAGAAGTCTGATCGAAAAAGTACGAATTGTTTTGGATTCTACGCACCAAAATTAATAAGAAAAGTGTTTTCCCGAGAAATTTTGGTGCAGTCGATTTTTGGTAAAAAAGGAAGGTTATACACTGCCTTTTTTTGAGGCCCGAGAAAAAAATTGTCTCGGATCGACCCGGAAAAAAAATTTTCTTATAGAATGTGGCCTGTAGAATCCATAATTTCAAACAGTTCCAAGATTGGGCTACTAGTTCAAAAGTTACCGCCCTTTGAATTTTCTTTCGAAATTGGTTTCTAGTCTATAACTTTTGATTGAGAAGTCTGATCGAAAAAGTACGAATTGTTTTGGATTCTACGCACCAAAATTAATAAGAAAAAGTGTTTTCCCGAGAAATTTTGGTGCAGTCGATTTTTGGTAAAAAAGGAAGGTTATACACTGCCTTTTTTTGGGGCCCGAAAAAAAATTGTCTCAGATCGACCCGGAAAAAAAATTTTCTTATAGAATGTGGCCTGTAGAATCCATAATTTCAAACAGTTCCAAGATTGGGCTACTAGTTCAAAAGTTACAGCCCTTTGAATTTTCTTTCGAAATTGGTTTCTAGTCTATAACTTTTGATTGAGAAGTCTGATCGATAAAGTACGAATTGTTTTGGATTCTACGCACCAAAATTAATAAGAAATAGTGTTTTCACGAGAAATTTTGGTGCAGTCGATTTTTGGTAAAAAAGGAAGGTTAAGTATTCAAATACTTTGCGAAGTATTCGAATACCAAATATTTGTGAAAGTATTTGAGTTACAAATACAAATACTGCTTCCATAAAAGTATTTAGTTACAAAGTATTTGAATACTTTAAAGGATTTGAATACTAAAAAGTATTTACAAAATCGAATACTGCCCAGCTCTGCAAGGGAGCATGGTAGGGCACACTAGAAGATGTATAATAGATAAGGGTATGGCAGTAATGGGCCAGGAGGAAGACAAAACGGTAGCTAACACAATAAAACTGGAAAGCGCAGGGGTGGTGGGAAACAAAAGGAGCGGCAGGGGCCCTCTAGATAATTTAGCTTTCTTAAACGATACGATGTGACGCATTTTTTCCGGGAAATATCACGTGTTTGTTCGAGAAGATTTTAGAATAATTATGCGGGAATCTTGAAATGGAGATCTCGGAATATCTTCACAATATACTAATGTTAATAAGAGGAATTTTGGATGCCAACTTGATTGAGATAAATTTAACCGTTTTCCACATTTAATTGTCAAAAATTATGCTGATTTTCCAATTTATCTATATGAGAGCTCTTATTATTTATTTGAGCCTTTTTCCCTCTTAGAAGAGGTTTCATTCTAATGGACTGCTCAAAAGCTAACATTAGGAGTTCTTGGCTGGGTATATACGATAGGCGCGGGCTCGACCGTGTTGCCAGTTTTAATAATCACTTTGACGGAAAGGCAGGAGCTTTAAATGTATTGTGGTGTTAACTGGGGTCTCGTTTCTCTAGGTTTAAATAATGCTGACGATGAGAGCGAGCCACCCTATAGTTGAAAATTTACGTGCTGTGAACGTCACCTGAAGAGAACCTCAGAATTTCAGGGTTTTAATGGTCATTGTAATGTTTAGTTTATTGTATTGTGTATTTGTATAGGTAATTTAAACATGTAAAAGCTGTTATCGGGCAAATTAGTTGGCCGCTTTTGATAAAACGACACCTGTATTGATAAGCGAAAGTAGGAGTTCATTTGGCGACGTCGTTGGGTGTTCGTGCGAGGCGAGCCTTCTCTGAAGTAAATAGAGTAATCAGTTAAAGTACATAGTTCAATTATCCGACCTTTCGCATTTACGTAATAGATAACGTGGCTTCCTACATGCTCAGTGAATAACGCAATAGTAAACACGCAATATGTTCCGGACGCTCGCGTTCCTCATCTACGTCACGTACTCATCCGGCGTCGACTGCCTAAACGACCCCAATGTGGTGATTATTGGCGCCGGTGCTGCGGGTATCTCAGCCGCGGCGAGGCTGTACCGGAACGGTATTAAAAACGTGAAGGTGCTCGAAGCGGGGAACCGGATCGGTGGTCGCATCCACAGTCTTAAATTTGGCGAGTCCTACATCGACCTAGGGGCGCAGTGGTGTCACGGCGAGAAGAACAACGCCGTCTACGATCTGGTGCGAGATTTAAACGTGCTGAAAACTAACAAGATTGCACCAAGGCTGTACCACTCAAAGTTGAAGTTGGTCCCGAAGGAGTTCGCCGAGAAGTTCGACGAAGTGTTCCAAGATATCTACCTCTTGAACAGCACCAAGTACGAGGGTAGCCTGGGTGAGCTTATGATCGACAGGTCGCCGGTTCTCTAAGGATGCACTCGACTCCAAAGTTTCATTTCAGATTTAGAAAGGCGGCGCCAAAGGTTTGGGGGAAGGAGTTCGAGCGAAACCTGGCGGAGGAGTGCGTGGACTTGTGCGAGAAGTTGGTACTCTGCAACGACGGGGCGTTTTCCTGGTTTGATCTGTCGGCCGAAATTGATTACGAAATTAGCGAGGGAGAACAAGAGCTTGGCTGGAATGGGGTGGGCTTCAAAACGGTTTTAGAGGTCTTGATGGAGGGCACACCAGTCAGCGACAACGTTGTCCTGAACAAGGAGGTTAGCGAAATTATCCAGAACGGCAATGGAACGGTTACTGTTGGTTGCACGGATGGCACCACGTACACCGCGGATCACACCATCGTGACCGTGTCTTTGGGCGTACTGAAGGATCGTGGCCTCTCACTCTTCAAACCCGAACTTCCCCGTGAGAAGCTCAACGCCATTGAAGCCTTGGGTATTGCCGCCGTCAGTAGTGTCTTCTTGCACTATCCAAATCGATGGTGGAACGACACCTTTAAAGGCATCTCGTTCATTTGGGACAAGGACGAGGTAGATCAGACAGCTGACAAATTCCCTGAAGGTCCGGCAAAGGTTCGTTTATCCTCTCGCACCCACTTCCCTTTCAAATCCTAATTAAAGGGAGGAAGATCGTGGATCACAGCCATAGTTTACATACTGCCGGTGCCTCGCAACCCGAACGTCCTCTCGGCCTGGTACGTCGGCGAATTCGTCCCGCAAATCGAAAAAACCTCAAGCGACACCATTTCGAGCGGAATCACGTACACCATAAGCCTGTTTTTGGATCGAGAAGTTCCTCGCCCCGACAAAATCGTGCGGTAGGTGTCGCTCTGATCAGGACCAACTTGACTTTTATTTTCAGGCACAATTGGTATTCCGATCCGCATTTCCGAGGCAGTTACTCTTACGAAACGATGGAGTCCCGTAAAATGGCAACGTCGCAGGCGGCCTTGTTATCCCAACCACTTTTTAACGTGGACGGTAGACCGGTGGTGCTTTTCGCTGGCGAAGCAACCAACCCCATTCGTTATGCAACAGTTCATGGTGCACTTGAAACGGGGTACAGGGAAGCCGATCGGATAATCGACCTGTACAAAACCTAAATGACATTTTTGCTGGGTACGTTTGATCAAAGATGCCTTTATAGTCCTTCTCTAGATTCAAGTCTGTGATCAGTTGTAACGTTACATTTACCCACTTGCATAAAATCAATTTTATTCTCTAAGGCGGTGGTACTTCATTTTTTGTAATGAAATAATTAAATCCACGGCTAGCTCAGTAATAAATGACCAATACCTTGAAGAAAATTGGTTCTTTATTTCTCCTTATAATCTAAAAATTAAATCCTGATTTGTTGAGTTCATTTATCGTTTATAGAAAACATACAAGTCTGTATGCGGAATAAACTTCCGTGGGTCGACCTCTTCAGGAATGTTAAAATTACTTTAAGCATAAATTTCCACCGAAGATTCTCAATCCTTCAAATAACTTACATTTATAGATGCGTCGAAATTTTCTCCTTTTGAAAGGTAGGAGTAATACTCAAAATTGGATGGTGGAACGCCTTGTGAATTGAATTGAATCGCCTTGCAAATTTGACTACTCGTTGAAAGTGAATTTTGAAAGATGGTTGACGTTATGAATCAATAACAAACTGGTCTTCAGGTTTCTCGAAATGTAATAGTTGAAATTTGGTTTACTCACTCAAACCAATATGGAAATGTCAAATTTCCCCTATTTTTATACGTTTTACCGGTTTCCGTTTAATCCAGAAGCTTACTATCGCCCCGTATAAACAAAAGATGCGCACAAATTTGGTTGTCAACTGTACTCTGCACGGACCGAATACAGAATTCTCGCTGATATTACCACACTCGATAAAATTGATCTAACCACAACCAACTTGCACAAAATATTACAGATGGTGTAACGATCATCAAAATGTGAAATTTTAAATTAAAAAAAACAAACGTTACAAAGCTCCTTAAAGACTTGAATAAGGTCTTTTCAATGCACTAAAAGACTCTGAAAATCTTTAAAAGGTGGAGAAGATCGGGTAGGGCCTTTAAAGACCTTCAAAATTCTTTACAAACTTGTACGGTCTTTAATAGTCCTTCCGTAGATCTTCTAAACGTGGATGAAAATATCACACAAGGGTTCGGAAAGTCTTTAAAACGCTTTGGGAACCCTGAAATTCCTTAGAAATCGTTGAAAAGTTTTTTGTAGGCTAAACTGGTCCTTGAAGAAAGACCAAAATCTAATACAGCCTTTAATGAAATAGCTCTAATTGTCCTTGGGATTCGAAGCACTTCTAGGAGCTGCTCGAGTGGTTACCAAAGGATCGCTGAGGTAAGTGGTCAACACAGTGGCCGCTTTAGGCTTAGAAAGATGTGGTTTTGAATTTACAAATTTACCAGTATAGGAAATTTTATACGTATACCGCTTCATAGCAAAAATGAATAGAACTAAAACGAAATAGAATGAAGCGCTTTCGGATAAGAAACGAGTTGCGATCACGTGTAAATCTAATTTAAAGTGGCGTATTTACGTGAGCGAACATTTTGGTTCAGTTGCCTCATTGGGTCAGCGGAATTGCGTTTAAATAAATTTGACCACAAAAGCGTTGTGGTTCGGGGTACAAAACGTTCGTTGCGTTTATACTGGGAGTGGTTAGTTACGATTAAAAAAAATTTCTCGGTAACAACTGATTGTTTCTTTGATGTGGAAATGAAATTGGCTTCCCAGCTGTATTCTGCACGGACCGCGCATAGAATTCTCGCTGATGTTATGTTACCACACTCGATAAAATTGATCTAACCTGAAAATCCTTAAAAAGGTCGAGAAGGTCGGTTAGAGCCGTTGAGGTCCTTCAAGATTCTTTACAAACTTGTACAGTATTTAATAGATCCTTCCGTAGATCTTCTAAGCAAAGATAAAAACATCACGCCAGGGTTCGGAAACTCTTTAAAAAGCTTTGGCAGTCATGAAATTCCTCAGAAAGCGTTGATTTAGGCTAAACTACTTTTAAGAAACCAGGAGTTTTAAATGGTCTAATAGAGTCTAAAGAAAGAGCTCGAATTGGCCTTTGGATTCGAAGCACTTCTAGGAGCTGTTCGAGTAGTTACCAAGGAATCGATGAGGTAGACCGTCAACACGTTGGCCGCTTTAGGCTTAGAAAAATGTGGTTTTGAATTTACAAATTTACCAGTATAGGAAATTTTATACGTGTACCGCTTCATAGCAAAAATGAATAGAACTAAAATGCAATAGAATGAAGCGCTTTCAGATAAGAAACGAGTTGCGATCACGTATAACTCTAATTTAAAGTGGCGTATTTACGTGAGTGAACATTTTGGTTCAGTTGCCTCATTGGATCAGCCGTTTAAATAAATTTTACCACAAAAGCGTTGTGGTCCGAAGTACAAAACGTTCATTGCGTTTATACTTGGAGTGGTTTTGTGCACCTATTTTGTTTATAGGGGGCGGCAATAAGATTCTGAATTAAACGGAAACCTGTTAAAAGTACAAAGGGACAATTGACATTACCATACTGCGGAACATTGGTGAATTATTCCAGTGAGTAAACAGAATTTCAACTGTTCAATTAAGAGGAACTTGAAGGCCAGTTTGTTTCTGATTCGAGTCGTCAACCATCTTTCAAAGTTCACTTTCAACGAGTAATGCCGATCCCAACCCAAAAAGTCACCAGGAAAGTTACTAAAAAAGTAGTAATGCCGATCCTAACGCAAAAAGTCACCAGAAAAGTTACTAAAAAAGTAGTAATGCCGATTCTAACGCAAAAAGTCACCAGAAAAGCTACTAAAAAAGTAGTAATGCCGAATCTAACGCAAAAAGTCACCATAAAAGTTACTAAAATAGTAGTAATGCCGATCTTAACGCAAAAAGTCACCAGAAAAGTTACTAAAAAAGTAGTGATGCCGATCCTAACGCAAAAAGTCACCAGAGAAGTTTCTAAAAAAGTAGTAAAGCCAATCCTAACGCAAAAAGTCACCAGAAAAGTTACTAAAAAAGTAGTAATGCCGATCCTAACTCAAAAAGTCACCAGAAAAGTTACTAAAAAAGTATTACCTAATGCCGATCCTAACGCAAAAAGTCACCAGTAAAAAAGTAGTAATGCCGATCCTAACGAAAAAAGTCACCAGCAAAGTTACTAAAAAAGTAGTAATGCCGATCCTAACGCAAAAAGTCACCAGAAATGTTACTAAAAAAGTAGTAATGCCGCTCCTAACGCAAAAAGTAACCAGAAAAGTTTCTGAAAAAGTAGTAAGGCAGATCCTAACACAAAAAGTCACCAGAAAAGTTACTAAAAAAGTAGTACCTAATGCCGATCCTAATGCAAAAAGTCACCAGAAAAGTTACTAAAAAAGTAGTAATGCCCATCCTAACGCAAACAGTCATCAGAAAAGTTACTAAAAAAGTAGTAAGGCAGATCCTAACGCAAAAAGTCACCATAAAAGTTACTAAAAAAGAAGTAATGCCGATCCTAACGCAAAAAGTCACCAGAAAAGTTTCTAAAAAAAGTAGTAAAGACGATCCTAACGCAAAAGTTACCATAAAAGTTACTAAAAAAGAAGTAATGTCGATCCTAACGCAAAAAGTCACCAGAAAAGTTACTAAAAAAGAAGTAATGCCGATCCTAACGCAAAAAGTCACCAGAAAAATTTCTAAAAAAAGTAGTAAAGACGATCCTAACGCAAAAAGTCACCAGAAAAGTTCCAAAAAAGTAGTAATGTCGAATCTAACGCAAAAAGTCACCATAAAAGTTACTAAAATAGTAGTAATGCCCATCCTAACTCATAAAGTCACCAAAAAAGTTACTAAAAAGGTAGTAATGTCGATCCAAACTCAAAAAATCACCAGAAAAGTTACTAAAAAAGTAGTAAGGCAGATCCTAACGCAAAAAATCACCAGAAAAGTTACTAAAAAAGTAGTAGGGCAGATCTTAACGCAAAAAGTCACAGAAAAGTTTCTAAAAAAGTAGTACTGACGATCCTAATGCAACAAGTCACCAGAAAAGTTACTAACAAATTAGTAAAAAGTTACTAAAAAAGTATTAAGGCAGATTTTAACGCAAAAAGTCACAGAAAAGTTTCTAAAAAAGTAGTAATGACGATCCTAACGCAAAAAGTCACCAGAAAAGTTACTAAAAATGTAGTAAGGCAGATCCTAACGTAAAAAGTTACCAAAAAAATTACTAAAAAAGTAGTAATGTCGATCCAAACACAAAAAGTCACCAGAAAAGTTACTAAAAAGTAGTAAGGCAGATCCTAACGCAAAAAGTCAGCAAAAAAGGTACTAAAAAAGTAGTAATGCCGAATCTAACGCAATAAGTCACCAGAAAAGTTACTAAAAAAAGTAGTAATGCCGATCCTAACGCAAAAAGTCACCAGAAAAGTTACTAAAAAAGTAGTAAGGCAGATCTTAACGCAAAAAGCCACAGAAAAGTTTCTAAAAAAGTAGTACTGACGATCCTAATGCAACAAGTCACCAGAAAAGTTACTAAAAAATTAGTAAAAAGGTACTAAAAAAGTATTAAGGCAGATCTTAACGCAAAAAGTCACAGAAAAGTTTCTAAAAAAGTAGTAATGACGATCCTAACGCAAAAAGTCACCAGAAAAGTTACTAAAAATGTAGTAAGGCAGATCCTAACGCAAAAAGTCAGCAAAAAAGTTACTAAAAAAGTAGTAATGCCGAATCTAACGCAATAACTCACCAGAAAAGTTACTAAAAAAAGTAGTAATGCCGATCCTAACGCAAAAAGTCACCAGAAAAGTTACTAAAAAAGTAGTAAGGCAGATCTTAACGCAAAAAGCCACAGAAAAGTTTCTAAAAAAGTAGTACTGACGATCCTAATGCAACAAGTCACCAGAAAAGTTACTAAAAAATTAGTAAAAAGGTACTAAAAAAGTATTAAGGCAGATCTTAACGCAAAAAGTCACAGAAAAGTTTCTAAAAAAGTAGTAATGACGATCCTAACGCAAAAAGTCACCAGAAAAGTTACTAAAAATGTAGTAAGGCAGATCCTAACGCAAAAAGTCAGCAAAAAAGTTACTAAAAAAGTAGTAATGCCGAATCTAACGCAATAACTCACCAGAAAAGTTACTAAAAAAAGTAGTAATGCCGATCCTAACGCAAAAAGTCACCAGAAAAGTTACTAAAAAAGTAGTAAGGCAGATCTTAACGCAAAAAGCCACAGAAAAGTTTCTAAAAAAGTAGTACTGACGATCCTAATGCAACAAGTCACCAGAAAAGTTACTAAAAAATTAGTAAAAAGGTACTAAAAAAGTATTAAGG